GCTTAACCGGTGATTTCCAGGGGGAGACCCCCTGGGACCCCCCTTTTGCCTCCGGCGGCCCTCCGGGGGCTCCTGCGGAGCGCTTTTCTCCTGCGGAGGGCTACCACAACAACCCTAACCCCACCCCCCCCCCCTCCTCCCCCTCAACACGCCGCACTGTCTAGGATTAAAATTAACCAATTTTAGGCGAGGATATTTGGATTCTCGTGCGTGGACTGGCTACAGGCCATTTAAGCTACGGACTGTGTCCCGAATAGGAAAAACCTTTGTCAGCATTTCTGTCAGATCACCCGGGTAAAGAACAGCTACGCCCTCCGCGCACCAAAACCCTGCTTCCACCTGCCTACCTCCCCTCGCTGCGCTCCGTCCGGTAGGTGGCGGTGTCAGCAGGGTTTTGGTGCACGTCGGGCTTCGCTGAATAAAGATGTCATTTCATTTCTCCAGGCCTGGTCCACAGCGCGCACTGCAACATCTGACGATCCGCACCATGCATACGGACATCTCTCTCTGGCTTGACGGCGTGCCACTCTCTTCGCCGGGGCGCGACAAACGACGGCGCGACTCCCACCGCACTGTCGGCTCCAACAAACGGCGAGCCACCGCGCCGCTTTGCCCACAAAACGACGCGCTAGCCGACGAAGCGGCACCTCTCTATACCCCGCCATTGTCTCGCGAAGGGGCCGCGAACCACATGGACACGAGGACGGCGGCAGGGACGGACCCGGACAGAGGAGCGGGCGCAGGGGGGAGGCAGACGCCCGAGGCGAGGCGACATAGCGGCTCCCGCGGCGACATGGACGCGACGCCTAGGCCAGGCAGGATTGTGCCGCGTCATGCGATCCGCGACTTCCAAAGTGAAACCGACAGCCAGAGCCGGAGCTCCAGCCGCACACGGACCTCGAGCCAGCCATCTACGCGCAAGAGAAGGAGGCAGCTCGAGATTGCCGATGAGCCGATTGATATCTTTACCTTTGCCAGCACTTCCTGCCAGGACCAGGATGATTTCGCATTGCCTTTGCCGCTGCAGGAGCTCTTGAGAGACTTCGGGACAGTCCGTAACGGCGCCATCCCTTTCGTCTCGCAATCTCGCAAATCGGAGCTCGGCGCCCTCGGCTTTGGGGACAGCGCCTACTTCGAGGAGCAGTCTTGCCAGGGCGGGCAAGGGCCCAAAGAAATCAGCGAGAACCTCGAGTCCCCAAGCCTGCAATGCGTCCGCGAAATTTTGGACGCGGCGGCCGAGTGCCATGAGGAGTGGTATGACGAGGCTGGTTGGAACGCCGCTGTGCACTTCCCGCTGCTGAGGTTGGCGATACCTAGGCACAGCCAAATCAACGTCACGCCATGCACCTCAGCCCGGATCCAGAGGGACTACCTCCCTACCGGCTCGAAAAACGGGCACATGGTTGACTTCTGCCTCAGCATCGACCCCAAGTGGCCCAAAGGACGCATGGCCACCACCCCCGCCCTGCAGGCTATCAATGGCGCTAGCAGACATCTGCCGGGTTCTTCCATCAACCACACCGACTTCCGCCCGCTGAGGCAGAAGCCAATCGCTGTCAGCATCGAGACTAAGTGTCTTGGAGGGTCCGTCAAAACCGCCGAGGTTCAGCTAGGCGTGTGGCAGGCCGCGCAGTGGAAGATGCTCGACACATTAACCGAGGTCAACACTGAGCGCGACCCGCCCGAGTCCATATCACCACCCCCACCCAGACCCGAATTTCTGCCTGCAATTCATATTGTCGGACACGAGTGGAAATTTGCGGCCGCGATAAAGCAGGGCAATAAAACCATTCTACTCACCGAATGCTCTCTCGGAAGCACCAATACGGTTTGGGATATTTACAAAATTATTTGGGCAGTCCGTCGCCTTGCCCGCTATAGTGTCGAGCAATACTGGTTTTGGTTCCTTTCTCGCATTAGTTAGTTATTATTGTCATTCACTTTTTCACGACCCTTTCTCCTTTCTTTCAATTAATTACCTTTTTCTTTTCGCAGCCTTATTTCCTTTTTTTAGTATATTTTCTTTTTGCAATTTTATTTCCTTTTTGCAATTTTATTTCCTTTTTTTTTTTTTGCAACCTTATTTCCTTTTCTTCATTATGTTTTCTTTTCGCTGTCGATTTCCCTTCTTCCCTTTGCTTTTCCCTGTAATGGCTACCCATAAGCTTTACAGATTCCAATGGCCCAAACATGATAGTATGTTGTGCCTTTTAACAAGCCGCAAGAAGTCGGAATACCAACGTGAAACAAAATCGAATAGAAGAATTTAACTAGTAGGTATGTTCGTGTCATCTCAACGCTCCAGCGAGCTTTCGAGACTTGATGCGCGTCAAGATGGGTGTCGAAACCCATAAAGCAACGGATATCAAGGGGAAGATACCCAGGACGTATAGGGCAACATTGTAGCCACGAACCTGGGCAATCCAACCCGCCAGCAGAGGGGATAGCGAAGATCCCACAAGCTGTGCTGTCCCAACGGCGCCGATACCAACATTGACGCGCCCGGTGCGCGCGAGCACCTGCGCCACGGTCCCCGGGACCGCGACGCTCTGTAGCCCGGCCCCGACGCCGTCGAGCACCTGGACCGGCCACACGCCCCAGGCCTCGATAAAGGTGGCGCCCAGCGCCGCGCGCACGGGCAGGGAGCAAAAGGACACGAGGAGAACGGGCCAGTAGCCGCAGAGCCCGCGGGCCACGGCCCACGACGCGCCCAGGGCCATGACCACCATGGTGCCCTGCGCCACCACGATGGTTAGGCCCGTGAAGGCGGCCGGGTCCGCGTTGCGCTCCGCCACCACGGCCTGCCCGTACAGCGGCAGGAAGGCCGCGTTGCCCAGGTGGTACGCCGCCAGCGCGAGCCCCAGCACCACGAGCTCGCGATGCCGCAGCAGCCGCGCCCACGCCTCGGCGCGGCCCTCACCGCCGCCGCCGCCGTTGCCGCTGCTGTCCTGCGCGGCCGCCTCCCGATCGCCCGGT